TGGTCGCCTCTTGGGCTGTCTTAGGCCTTTGTTCGGACTGTCTTGGGTCTCTTTTGGGCCGTTTTGGGCAGCTCTTGGCCTGTGTTCGGGCTCTCTTGCGGCCTTGTTGGGACTCTCTTTGGCCGTCTTGGCGCGGTTTGGGGCGCTTGTTTGGGCTGCTCGGGCCGTCGGAAATTCGAAGAGGCAAGAAGGCCCAACACTGTACAAAGCTTAGGCAAATCAATTAGCTTGGCTTCTTGAAGCCCGGTTGGGAGGCCTCTTGGGAGTCTCTTTGGTCGTCTTTGGATGGAACAAGTGGAGCCAATCGCAGAAGAAAGCGGAGTGGATGAATGCAACGAACACTGCTCGACAAAGCGCGCGCCAGGAACAACCGCTGAGGTGTTCGGAGTGCCCAAAAGACACAGACGGAAGAGGGCGAGAATTCACGGTCGCGGCGCATCTGACAACAGAACAAATGAACCACTATTATAAAACGGGCGCAGCCCATGGGCCAGTGAAATGCCGCGACTGCGACACGCATTACAAGCGATCGCGGGTGTTCAGGTGCTCCGCGTGCCCGAAAGAAACAGATGGGAAAGAGCGAGAATTCACGGACAGGACGCACCTAACAGATAAGCAAGTGAAGCATTTCTTCGCGAAGGGTTCGGACCATCGCCCAGTCATGTGCCGCGCGTGCCAGGAAGAACGCAATCGGCCGCGGGTGCTCTCGTGCTCCGCGTGCCCGAAAGAAGCAGATGGACAAGAGCGAGAATTCGCGGACAGGACGCACCTAACAGATAAGCAAATGAAGCATTTCTTCGCGAAGGGTTCGGGCCATCGCCCAGTCATGTGCCGCGCGTGCCAGGAAGAACGCAATCGGCCGCGAGTGCTCTCGCGCTCCGCGCGCCCGAAAGAAGCAGATGGAAAAGAGCGAGACTTCGCGGACAGGACGCATCTGACTGATACGCAAGTGAAGCACTTCTTCGCGACGGGTTCGAACCATCGCCCAGTCATGTGCCGCGCGTGCCAGGAAGAACGCAATCGGCCGCGAGTGCTCTCGTGCTCCGCGTGCCCGAAAGAAGCTGATGGGAAAGAGCGAGAATTCACGGACAGGACGCATCTGACAGATAAGCAGGTGGAGCACTTCTTCGCGATGGGCTCAGAGCATCGCTCGGTGGTGTGCCGAGCGTGCCACGAGCAAAGCCAGGTTGCGAAGAAGTTGAAATGTTCCGCATGTCCCCTGAAGAAGGACGGATCAAAGCCTGCGTTCACTGACGGCGGCCATCTGTCGATAGCCCAGAACAAGAATTATTTCCACCGAGGCACTCTGGCGGTTTGCGCCAAGTGCTATAAGGCGGGACGGGCACCGCGGAGAGACCCGCTGAAACGCCTCGCGGAGGCAAGTGACGAGCGCGGCGGGAAGCAACGCAAGTTGCGAGGAATCTAACCGCGAGTCGCGCGCGCGTCGTCTTCGGGGCTCTCTTGGGCCGTCCTCGGCCTCTCTTGGCCCGTCTTGGCGCCCTCTCGGCCTGTCGCGGGGCCCTCGTGGAGGCTTCTTGGACCGTCTTGGCGCGGTCTTGGGAGGCTCTCGGGCCGCCCCGGAGCAGGGGGCGCCCCGAGCGGCGCGCGCGCGAACAAATATACGTTTTACGAAAACGGACGATTTTATACAGCTAGAGGCCCTCCAGGGGCGCATCGTGGAAGCTTCTTGGGGCGTCTTGGGGGCCTCTTCAGCCGTCTGGAGGCCGTCGTCAGCGTTTTGGATCGCTCTTGGACCGTCGAGGACCATGTGGAGCTCTCGTCGAGGCCGCTCGGACCGCTCCTGGAGCGCTCTCGGAGCCGTTCTCGGATCCCTTTTGGGCCGTCTTGGACGTGCGTTGGCCCGTCTTGGGGCCCTCGAGGGCTCTGTGGGAACCCTCTTGGAGGCGTCTTGGGCCGTCTGGGAGCGGGTTTGGGTGGTTTTGGGGCCGTCCAGGAGCGGGGGGCACCCCAAAAGGCGCACGTGTGAAACAATATACGTTTGACGAAGGAAACGAGGGATTGTTTGCGTCTAGAGGCCCTCTTGGGGCGCATCGTGGATGCCTCTTGGGGCGTCTTGGGGGCCTCTTCAGCCGTCTGGAGGCCGTCGTCAGCGTTTTGGATCGCTCTTGGACCGTCGAGGACCACGTGGAGCTCTCTTCGAGGCCGCTCGGACCGCTCCTGGAGCGCTCTCGGGGCCGTTTTCGGAGCCCTTTCTGGGCCGTATTGGACGTCAGTTGGCCCGTCTTGGGGCCCTCGAGGGCTCTGTACGGACCCTCTTGGAGGCGTCTTGGGCCGTCTGGGAGCGGGTTTGGGTGGCTCTGGGGCCGCACAGGAGCGGGGGACACCTCCAAAGGCGCACGTGTGAAAATATAGACGTTTCACGAAGGAAACGAGCGATTTTTTGCGTCTAGAGGGCCTCTTGGGGGGAATCTTGGATGCCTGTGGGGGCGTCTGGGGAGGCCTCGTGAGCCGTCGGGAGGTCGTCGTCGATGTTTCTGATCGCTTTTGGACCGTCTGGGACCATGTGGAGCTTCGTGGAGGCAACTCGGAGCGTTGCTGGAACGCTCTTGGGGCCGTTTTCGGAGCCCTCTTGGGCCGTCTTGGACGCCTGTTGGCCCATCTTGGGCCCTCTAGGGGTCTGTGGGGGACCCTCTGCGAGGCTTCTGGGGCCGTCTGGGAGCGGGTTTGGGAGCCTCTTGGGCCGTCGGGGAGCATCGGAAAGATCCAAAGCTGAATTTCTAAAAAATGTACATTTCACGAAGGGAATGGCCCAATTTTGCGTCTAGGGTCCCTTGTGGAACGCATCTCGGAGGCCCTCGGGGGGGCTCGTGGGGACCTCTTCTGCCGTCGAGGACGCCTCGTGGCCCGTCTTCGGGCCAACTTGGACGTCTTGGAGCGCTCGTGGGGCGTCCCAAACCCATTTCGAAGCCACCAGACGCGTCCCTACACGATTGCCACGTGCTTTTCCACGATTTTCGGGAGCGGATGAGACCTCCGGGGGGTTCCGGGCCGCCCGGGGCCGTCCGGCCGGACCCCCCCCCCCCCCCTCCCAAATGGACCGGACCGGGCTCCCGGGGGAGGGGTTTGGGGAGGGGGAACATCTCACACGCCGATGAACCCCAAGGGGTCGGCGGATTTCACTATCGATCTCACTTTTTGGGACACCTCGGGGCACCACATCGATCTCAGCATCGATCGCACTATCAATCTCTCTCAACGGGACACCACGGGACATCGCGGAACACCGCGAGCCACCGCTTGACGGACGGACGGACGGATGGGCGGGGGAGAATCATTTGTCTTGGTTTTTCCCTAGCAACGGTTGACACCACGGGTCACCACGGAACACCCCAGGACACCGCGAGCCATCGCCGGACGGACGGACGGGAGCGAAACATGTGTCTTGACTTTGACCTAGCAACGGCGGACATCACGGGACACCGCTAGGGCCACCGCCGGACGGACGGACGGACGGACGGACGGGGGAGCAATATTTGTCTTGACTTCGCCCTAGCAACGGCGGGTTCATGACACGAACGAAACGGAACGAATTCCCGGTTGGGGGTCTCCGTTCCATTGCGATCTCACCCCCCCCAACCTCCGATGTGTGTATGGTGATGATGAGTGGTGTTGATGATGAGTGAGTGTAAATTTGATTGAGTACAAGTGAAGCTTCGATTGTGTGTGATGATGGTGAGGCTTATTACGATTAGTGGATGATGGTGATTATGATGATAATGATGATGATGCTGATGATGGTGATGAAAATGAGGATGATGATGACGATGATGATGATGATGGTGATGATGATGATGATTATGCTGATGATGATGATGATGATGATGATGATGATGATGGTGATGGTGATGGTGATGGTGGTGATGATGATCATGATGATGATGATGATGATGATGATGATGATGATGATGATGATGATGACGATGATGCGTGGGTGTGTGCGTGTGCGAGTGGTGAAGAGAGAGGGGAGGAGGAAGAGGAGGTCCTGCGAGTGGTGGGGCAGAGAAAACAGGAACCCCACTTTGAATGTGGGGAATGAGCTCCACACAGCACATTCTGAACTGCCGTGCGATTCAAAGAGTCGCCAGACAAACCGAGTGCAACGCACGAGCCGACCTGCGATAGGGAAACTCATGAGGTGAGCCGTGGCCTGAGAGAAAGGAAGAGAGAGAGAGAGAGAGCGCGCCAAAGGTAACAAAAAATGCGTTCAAGCAAGAAGTAACTGCCCTGCCGGATCCGGAATCAGGCAGGCGACGGTGCTTCCCATTGCTTCCCGTTCCCTGCCGTGGCCACCCGTTGCCTCATGTTGCCTCCCGTGGCTTTCCGTTGCCTCCCGTAGCCTCCCGTAACCTCCCGTTATTTGCCGCGGCTTCCCATTGCCGTCCTTATCCTTATCCCTCTATGCCTGGCTCTCTTTATCCCTATTCTCATTCCCCTCCCCATTTGGTCCCTATCCATGTCTCTCTATCCCTGAACACCTAGCCCTATATCCCTACTTCCGTCTCTATCCCGATTCCCCCACCGCGACCCCCCATCTTGGCCCCCACCGTAACACCGCAAAGATGTTCAGAGTCTTCTGCAGAAAAGGTGTCAGATTGCTCTTGACAGGGATGGCGGGGGGGTCGTCTTGGTTCCGGGTCTGCCTCCTGTCAGGTGGGGGGTGGGGGGTATATCATTGAGGAGCAATGGCACATGCCTCCCGATTTGAGGGGAGGGGCTTTAGAAGAGGGAATAAACATTCATGTTACTTTTTGCGCCTAGAAGGCTGGCGGAATTCAATTATAAGCCTTGGCTGCTGCTGCAGCAGGCCAAATGAAGGTGGGAATCAACTTGTTGGAGAGTGCCCCTGCAATGTTTCGAGGGGTGGCTCGTGTTGCATGAACGCTCGCTTGGCGAAAAGTGTCTGGATGTGTTTTCCCAGCAGCATGCGCGTTCATCACTCTCTCCTCCGTTCTCAACGTTCCAGGCTGGCCCCTCCATAGCTTCCACGGTTCAAGCGAAGATGTTTCTCATGAGTGCCCCATTGATGCCGAGCGCCAACTCCACCAGCACCGATGCTGGCACTCTCGCGCGGAAGATGCACTCCTGGCACGTGAAGAACACCTTTGTGGAGGTGCGTGGCATTGGTAGCGAGGCCTGCTCTGATCGCAAGCCCAGCCGGGCCGCACGCAGCTGCCAGCCCAGGTTCGGGTCGGGCGAAAAGGGAGGGTTGGGAAAGGGGGGGGTACGAAATCTGCTGCATGCAGCTGGTTTCGGCCCCGCCGCCGGGCCCATTCCTCGATACATGGGCGCCTCCCAGCGCCGGGAGGCGCCGGGAAAATCAGCTACGTGAGCTGATTCTCAAACCCCCCCTTTGCTATCCCCCCCGTTCGCCCTCGCCCGACAGGTTCCGGGCGAGCGGCACATCGGCGCGGCCCGCGGACGCAGAGCGGTGCGCCGCGGGCGCCGCGGGCAGCAGCGCCCCCGCGGCTCCTGCGGCTGCCAGCGCTACCGCCGCGGGCGCGGCCCCCGTGGCCTCCACGGGGGCTGCCCAGCAAGGAGCACACGGGGCGGAGCTCGGCCAGGAGGCGACGGCGGTGCCAGGTGGTGCTTGCCAGACGCAGCAAGAGCGTGGGCGTGGCAAGGCCTCGAAGGGCGGCAGCCCGAAGCGCCGAGCCGACCAGACGCACCCGCAGTCGTCGACGATCGCGGAGCAGCTGCAGCAGCTGCAGCAGCACGACCGCCGGTGCGTGTTCGTCGCCCGGCGGCTGCACACCCTGAGCTTCGCGTCGGAGAGGTTGCTGGCGTCGCACTTCTCGGCCTTCGGGCAAGTCGAGCGGGTGCTGATCGCGCACTCGAACGTGACGCGATCGCTCAAGCCCGTGGCGCGGGTGCGGCCTGGGAGCATCGGCTTCATTGTGATGGCACATGCCAGCGCCGTCACGCGCATCCTGGAGTCGGGAAGCCAGCAGGTGGTTGCCGGGAAGAGCATCGTCGTGGAGCCGTTCCACCCCAGGCCGTTGGAGGACGGCCGCGACAGCGGCAGCGACGAGCCGCTTCAGCGCGGCCCCGGGGTGCTCGCAATCACCTCGGCCAGCAGCCCGGTGCCTCCGCGCTCGGCCTCGGCCACCGCCAGCTGAGCGTGGCCCCATCGGAGACCCGCCGGCCGGGCACGCAGGGAACGAGCGCGGCCCCGGCCCACATGAGCCACGCCTCGGATCGACCAAGCGATGTGTACGTTTTTGCAAGGGGGAAGTTTTAATCCGCTGGCGCATCTTGCAGGGGCGCCTCGGTTCCAGCTGGCCCCAGGCTGAACAAGCTTGTGGCCGGCGGCGTGGGTCTTCGCGAGCCAGTCGTTCTAGTTCGGACGGCGGGGGGGCGAGAAGGACAGTGGAAAGGGGTGATACAGTCAAGACGTTGAGAGAAGGAGCGGCTCGGGTAGCAAAGGGGCGCGCTGCTTAAGCCCGTCATGGCTTATCCTCTAGCGGCTCCTCGTGCACCCAGGCACTGTCTGGGCCAAAGCGGGCATTCGTTCTTCGTGCAGCGTTCGTTCTGGAAATGGCCTGACAGTGCAAAAGTTGCCCTCTGCAGCTGGCTTCGGCCCCGCCGTTGGGCACTTCCCTTGATACAATGGCCGCCCCCCGCGCCCTCGGGCGCCAAGAAAACCAGCCGCGCACTGCCGATCCGCTACAGCCAATCGGAAGCTGGGCGAGGGCTGCTAAAACCGTGGCTGCTAAAACGGCCCTCCCGGAAGGAAAGCACAGCTTCCCGGAAGGAGGCGCGGCACGCGAAACAGTCAGCGGGCTTCTTCCCGGAAGGACGAAGACAATTTCCCGGAGGCCGATTCCAGCAGCCACGACTTTAGCAGCCCTTGCCCAGTTTCCGAGCCAAGCCGCCGAAACCGACTACACGTAAGAGTGACCTTTCGCCGGAGTGACCTTTGGTGCGGGCCCAATGGGGTTCCCCGGTCGCCGAACGCGATGCGGTAGTAGCGTCTTGCGCGCCTGTGCTTGGCACCCCCACGGCCCCCCACAAGCCGCGCACCAAAGGTCACCCTTGCCCGGGGCCACTCTTGCGTGCAGCCGCCGAGAGATAGACAGCCTTGGGCTCCGGAGGGGCTCCGTGGCTCGGGCCGCTCCGGAGGCCCAGGTCGGGGAGAGCCCGTCCGTGGCCGGGGCCCGCCTCGGCCAGGGAGGCTCCCTCCGTCCCTGCTGTCCCGCTCCTCGGTGCCAGCACCGCGGCCTGGTCAGGAAGAGGACCTCCTCCCTCCTCCTCCTCCTCCTCCTCCTCCTCCTCCTCCTCCTCCTCCTCCCCCTCCTCCTCCTCCCCGTGGCTTTCCCCACCCCCCTTCGCCCGCCTCGACGGGAGCAGGCTCCGCGTGGCCACGTGCTCTCTGCTGCCTCTCGTGGCCGCAGCCACGGCCTCGCGGTCCGGACTCCTCGGCCGCGAGCCCGTGGACTCAGGGCGGCTTTGCTCGGATGCCCCGCGTGGAACGTATCGATGGGAGCACGCCTCCATGGGATCGCGCCTTGATCTTTAGACCGCGAGGGCATGGACGTGGATACGTCCGTCGCTCGCTAGTTTTTGAGTGCTCATCTCCGTCCACTCCTCCTTCTGGGGACGCGCGGTCTGGCAGCTCGAGCTGCACACGGCGTCGCGCGACATTGCAATGCAGTGTGAGCCCATCCACCAGGCCAGCCACAGTCAGGGGAGCTGTGGTCTTAACAGTCAGATGTTCGGATAAGGTCCACCTCGGTTTCGAAGGGGGCCCGATGTCCATTAGGTCATTCCGCGGGTGCTGCCCTGGTGTTCCTTGTTCATTTCAGCGTGGCACAGGCCCACAATGGGGCTCCGTTCCTGTTCCAAGGTTCCTTTTGGCAATGACTGGGTGCCCCCAGACGATGGGCCCACCATGGGTATTAGGAACACAGCTCCCCCAGTTGAGGCCAGTCGCCCCTACAAACCACGACCCTGGGAAAAACTGCAGAGGCCCACCGCGAGGGACCCTGTTGCAAGTCAAGTGGTGCGCACCTGCGCACCCACCAGGTCATCATTATTCTACGCTCGGTCAGTCGGCGGTCAGTGGCGATTCTCGCCAGTGGCGAGCTTGAGCAGAGCGCAGTGGGTGTACAAGTTCCCTGGACCTGCCTGGCAGCTCCGAAATGTGGCTGCGATCGGACAAGTCGCAGCACGGGCTTTGCTGCGGCCGTCGCCCCGATGGCGAGAACTTTTTGAGCACGCTCTGACATCCAGACCGCGAGGGCATGGATCTGGATACGTTCGTCGCTCGCTTTTTTGGGGGTAAAGCAGAGCGAAGCGGTGTGATGGCCACAATGTCCGCGCCGAGCAAGATTGAGGTCCCAGGGAGCCCTTTAAGTTGCCTGCTACTTCTATTGTGTCTGTGCCGCCCCAACTTGGCGGCTGAGAAAAAAAAACGAGCCTGCGGGGACGAAGCCCGAACAGGACCTATCATAGGTTCAGCCAGACCGCACTAACCGTTAGGACCCTTATAGGTTCAGCCAGGACCCGCCGCCAGAAAGGACCCAGGATAGATTCAGCCTACCCGCGCAGACAAAGATGGGTACAGTCTCACACCGCTGCACGCTGCCAGGGTGCCGTGGTCGTCCCCCCGGGCGGTGGCTCCGCCGAGAAGTGCGCGACTCCCCTCCCCGAGGCGTGCAAATGCGTCCGCCAAGCAGCGCCGCAGCACCGAGCGAGACCCCGGCCGTAGCCCTCTTGGTTCAGGTGCGATCTGCCCTGCAGGCGAAGCCGCCGGCGATCGCGGGCCCATCGAGAACCTTCTGCCCCCCCGCCCGGGACCCATGGCCAAAGTACGGGGCCAGACGGGGGAGGAGTTTGGGGCGGGATCGAACGAACCGCCAGGCAATCAGTTTTCGACCCGCACGACGCAGCCGTCGTCAAAGGAAAACAACGCTTCACCTCCATTCCTCCACTCGCTTCACCGTCACTGGCAGGGCGGGCGGGTTGCTTGGAGGCGTTTTGGGAAATCGTGGGGTGTTCCAAAGTCTGTTCTCCTCATCGTCCTCTCCTGCTTCTGGGGCCGCGCGGTCCGGCAGCTCGAGCTGCATACGGCGTCGCGCGACGTTGCCATGCAGTGTGAGCCCATCCACCGGGCCAGCCACCGTCGGGGGAGCTGTGGTCTTAACAGTCAGATGTTCAGGTAAGGTCCACCTCGGTTTCGAAGGGGGCCCGATGTCCATTAGGTCATTCCGCGGGTGCTGCCATGGTGTCCCTTGCTCATTTCAGCGCGGCACAGGCCCACAATGGGGCTCTGGTCCTGTTCCAGGGTTCCTTTTGGCAAAGAATTGGATGCCCCCAGACGATGGGCCCCCCAGGGGGATTAGGAACACAGCTCCCCCAGATGCGGGCAGTCGCCGCTACAAACCACAACCCTGGGACAAACCGCAGAGGCCCACCGCGAGGGACCCGTTTGCAAGTCAATGTATTGTCCCATACCTGTTCGGCGCGTCCCGCAGGGCATCAGTCCTCTATGCTTAGCTTCTTTACGGCCAGGTGCGAGTTGCGGCACTGGCGAGCTTGAGCAAAGCGCAATGGGTGTACAAGTACCATTGAACTGTTTGAAAGCTCCGAGATGCGGCTGCGATCGGACACATGGAGGCCGTGGCCTGCTGCGGCCGTTGAATGTCGGCTCGATGACGATAACTGTTTGAACACACTCTTCTTGGTTCCTTTTTTGCATCGGACCATCATCTGCAGACTCAGTCCTCAATACCACGAGTCAACTCCTCAGTCTTCTCCCTCGCTGTCGTTCTGCCCTGCCCTGCGCGGATTGTGTGGCATCGGCTTCAGTTTGAAGGCGAAAGTCCGACAGTTCCCTGTACTATTCAGGTGCTTCAGATGCAATGGACAGTGTTGCCCATGCTTTCATCCTGCTTGCCCTTCGCTTGTCCCCACCCCGTCCGCCCGCCCCGACAGGAGCAGGCTTCGCGTGGCCACGTGCTTGCTGCTTCTCGTGGCCATAGCCATGGTAGTGGTCAGCGTTGCCCATGCCTGTAGCTTGCCTGCCCCTCGCTTTGCCCCGACTAATTCGGCCAGCCAGGGCACCGCACTCTACGAACGCAGAGGGGAAAGTACCAACAGCTAGCACAGCACACGGAGGGAGCAGCGGCAACCGAGGAGGGGGGGAGTGGAAGGGAGAAGGAGGACGGAAGGAGGACACCCCTGTGAGAGCCCCAGTTGGTGGGAATGTTTGATTGCGCGGCGTCAGTCGCGGCCCGAGGCAGGCCTTCGTCGGAAGGCGATTCCCTTGCACGCTTCGGCAGGGAGGGGCCGATCCGCTGCCCGCCGTTGCGCTTGCCCAGCGCCGCCCGCAGCTGCGGGCTCACCCGTTTGCATGCCGGCGCTGCCCGCACCTCCACGCGGCCCGCTGCTGCGGCAGGGCGCGCGGCGCTGACGAGGAGGACTACAGTCAACGCGCATAGTAAGGACAAACGATTTTTTCAAGGGTACCCTTGGGTCATTGCCTGCCTCAGCCTCTGCGGCCCGTCCCCAGCAGTTTTCGCAGGCCAGTTTCTCAGGTTCCCTGGGGGTTTGGCCGCCTGCCGCCCAGAACACCTCAACTTCGGCCTCCAAGGGCCCTGCGCCCTTACCACGCGTCCTTACTATACGTTTTCACTGTAGTGGATAGGGGCGGAGGCCCCGGGGGGCGGAGGGGCGGGGGCCGGAGCGGGACGGCGTCCCCCGGCTCCGGGCGGAGCGGTGGCCCGAGCTGCGGAGGCGCCCGGGGAGGCAGGGCGCGCGGCGCTGACGAGGAGGACTGTGGTGGAGAGGGGCGGAGGCCCCGGGGTGCGGAGGGGCAGGGGCCCCGGAGCGGGGCGGGCCGTCCCCCCGGGCTCCGGGCGGAGCGGCGGCCCGCGCGCTGCGGAGGCGCCCGGGGGAGAGTTTTGTGGTCCGCCTCGGAGGGCCCAGGGCTCCGACGCCGTGCGATGTCGGGCGTGTCCCCCTACGGGGGGATGTTCGGCGAAAAAGGTAAAGAAATAGTCAAAAATACCCCAAGAAGGCCCAAGAAATATTCAAAAGATAGTCCCCAGACTATTTTGGGACTATCGTTTGACTATTTTTGGCGTATTTGTTCATATTTTTCGTCGAGGATCCCCCT